AACACTCATTTCTACATAAACCATATATGGATGATATGTCAACCCCCCCCCTCAAAGCCAAAAAACCAGATGTTACACTCCATGTCCCGGTGTCCGGTCGAACCAGAATCCGGACACCGGACCGCTCCGTGGTGTTCCGGGTTTTCGAGGTCTTCGGACCAGCCACGGACGGACAGCCGACAGCCATCACCCATGACCATTCACATCACCCGTTTCCCTTCTCCTGTTGATGTCCCAACTGCTTCCCACGCACGTCCCACGTCCCACGTGAAACCACGTCCCACGCACGCACGTCCCACGTGCCGCGTGCCGCGTGCCGCGTGCCGCGTGCCGCTACCGGCCGTTGGCTTCGGCTCGCTCGTCGCTTTTTGCGGCGCCTTTGGGGACCAGGCTGCCCAGCAGAATGTTGTGCACCGCGAAGCCCAACGGAGCGCCCATGATCCTGAAGGATTCGACCGGTCCCAACGGCGCCGTGTGCGAACCAGGACCGGTCCTGGTTTGAGTGTCCCCACCCGAAGCACCCTGAAGTGAAGGTAGATCAACCCGAAGCACCATGGTATTTACTCAGTTTACACCACAAAACCCGGTGAACCAGTTGTTTCAAAGGTCTTAAGGAAGTCTTTCCGGGACACCGAGCCAAAGACTCTGCGCACCGGAACCCGGACAGGAACGAGTGGGCCAAACACGGCACCTGGACCGCGCACCGAAACCGGCACGACTTCGCTGTCAATGGGACTGGCATACCAAGAGAGGTCAAGTGACCTGAACTAGGACCCGTCACCTGGGATACCGAACTGGGATAGTCTAGTTCAGGTCCTTCAACCTCTGTTGGCATTTGATGAGAAGATGATTGGAGACTATTGATATAGCTTGGCTTGGAAGGTCCAATGACCTCACCTGAGGTTCGGTTTGATGTAGATCCAAAAATTGACCTCAGCTCCGCCCCACCCCAACTGGATCAGTCCAGTCCCGGTCGCGGGACGAGCGATTGGGTTGTCTCACACTGCGTGCGACTCGCCGGTGACCGTTTCGGAGACGATCGCCTCGCGAGCGACCGTTTCGGAGTCTGAAAATCACTCGCCGGGAGCAGGGCTGAACAGCGGGGGTGCCGCCTCGTGGTTTTTTTCCCAAATCGGAGAGCATACCTTCCAAGCGGAGGTTCCAGAAAAATGGAGATGTCCGACTTGGCAAAATGAATGAACATATGTAAAATTGTGCAACATCCTCCCTGCTTTCTGAGGCTCGCAAAGGTCTTGGTGTTCTTTCCCAGCACGCTGATGACGCTCAAGAAGGTTCCTTCGAAAAGGCCGATCGCAATGCCTCCCAGAGTATATTGAAGATATACGATGGACAAGTCCTGGAGGCCAGAATTCCGGTCTGCTTGACCCAAGCGGAGCGAGCGAAACCAGCGAAACCCGAGAGAAACCCTGAAGGTCCGGTCGACCATACTTGTTTAACGGTCTGACTTGGTGATCCGAGTTCAGGAACTTACTTTACTTGGGTGGTGCCGAAAATCGTCGAACTGGACTTCTAGGGAAAGTTGATCCGCTCTTGTTGCAGGAATTTCAAAGTCAACTTGGAAATGGAAAACTACCTGTTTGCAGAGGTAGCTGGCCTTCGCAGGGGCCATGCTTTCATGTTGATCCTTTTGGAGGTATGGTACAAACACAAAGCCGACAGTGCACCCAAACTTGGTTGCACCATCCGGTCGCTGCCCAAAACGGCACACTGTTGGGCAGTTTCTCTGGGCATTTGGCCTTGGGGAGTCCCGAATTGTCTTCAAAAATCGTTAAAATTCTGATTGACTTGGTGTTGTAGTCTAAAATCCTTAGTAGAACCATATTTGTTGGGTAAAGACCATTGTATACATCAATCGTTGTCTTATCCTATAGGGGATTGATATTTCTATCGCCCTATCTCCAACTCATCGATACAGCGTCAAGGCGTCCATTTATCCTTCATGTCAGCACCCCAAACGAAGATGATGGGAATCAGGATCGCCACAAACATCACCGCATAGGACAGATAGACAATGCCATTCGGCTGTAGAAAGGCCAACAAGGAAATCCTCAGGCACCGACCGACCTTCGAAGCGGGTCGGAAAGCGGTTTCAAACCCACCGACCTTCGGGCGTGACGGTCGCCCCGGTGAGGCGAAGAAGTGGTTGAAGCGGTCTGAGAGAAAGCATACACCGACCAGCTTGGGAGTCCAGTCAACTACTCTTAAAATGTGTTGTTCTTCAGTACATGGTAGGTCTTAGACTTCAATTTTTAGATTTACTGGCCTTGATCTTTGTGTGTATGTCTCGCTGCACTGCATGAATCATTAAAACCTCTTTTCATTTCAGATTGCGTCTGTAACAGCTTAATCGCTCAATCGCTTCTTAATCACTTAATCGCTTTGGCTATGCGGTTGATGGCTTATATAATCGCTTGGGCTAATCGCTTAATCGCTTGTGCGAAGTTACGGGGCTGCTCTGAGTACAGCAATGATAATTCTGCTGAACAAATGGAACTAAACATGACCGTGCCGTGCTCCGGCCCTGGAGAGTTGCTTGTGTTCCCACCGCCACGAATCGCGCTAGAAGAAACATGTGGGCACAGCAACGGGACTGTGCTCGCGCTGGTCATCTACAGATTCGCCGACCGAATAGATGAAACTCAAACCCACAAGCATGTTCAATGGGGATCCAGAGCGGTTGAGTACTGCAAGGGAGGTCAAGACACCAAACCGGCTTCTGTGTCCTCACACCGCTGGCTATTCATCTTACGCGCACCGCACCGCACGAAATGCACCGAAGCAAGTCACCGAATGAGAGGCACCGAGGATCTGAAGCACTCGCATGAGAAGCTTGGAGAGCTGAAAAGCTGCCGTGGCATCTTGAAATGCCCCTGGCTGAAAACGCCGGTCACGTCCCGCGTCCCGGGGAGTTCCCCGTCGTAGCGGTCGTGTTGGTCGCGTTGCGAACCGAGATCGGCCCTCCCGAAACCGGGCGGAACATGGGGGGGGTCCCGTGCCGAGGGCGGTGAAGCTGACAAACCACCGAGGGTGGCGGGATGAAGGGATGACCTGCAAGGAACCGCGAAGGGGGTGAGGGTGGCTATCAAAAGAACGGCCATTTCTGGATTGACCATGGAGGGCAATGGGGGGGGTCACAAGTTTCAGGCCTGCCGGACACCCCAAAGGACTCTCTTCTGCACCTGCTTCAAGCGGACGCTCCCCGAAACATCTGGCAACCCTGCCCCTCCAGCAGCCTGCTTGGTCGGGTCGAAGTTCCAGCTTCGTCTTCAAGGCATGTGCAGGGTTGCCATTCATCACGCCATACCCTTGGAACATGATCAAGAACGCCAACAAAAGGATCCTCAGAGGCCGCTGGCGAAGCAAAATCCGCTCTCGGACACCCGTGCAGTTTGGCTCTCGGTAGCTAGCAGCTCTCCGGAAAAAACACCCAAACGCACCAACTGAGACACATCCGCAATTCCAAACGCATCGGATTACTCATTCTTTCTCGTTCGTCGTCTGACGGTCTGGCCACCGAGGCCACCCTGGTGAAGAGCCACCAAAGAGCCCAACTAATAGGCAGAACCCTTGTGGATTGTGCACTGTTCAATAGAACCTGTTCTATCTCGAAACGCTCTACTTGGGGTGGTGCCATGATGTTAAGGTGCGAGCAAACCATGTTGGTCACGCCACTTGGGTTCATGATGGTTCATGGTTGTTGTCCTGCTGGGTGGAAGCTCCTGGAAGCAGGGGCCCTCAAAGTTCATGTGGCAGTTCAAAGCAGGGAACAAAAAAGACTACAACCTCCCCTTTCCGCCCTTTTCCCATTTGTTCACCTCCCAACAAGGCAGAACAAAATAGACTCTTAGACGATCCCAATCACCTATCCAGATCTATCCAGCCCACCAACCAGCCACCTACCCCTCCCCTCCCCACCAACCACCCCTACCAGCTCTGGTCTTCGCTTTGGCTCCGCACCGGCGGCGGCTCAGACTCGGCGCCCTCCTCCTCCACCGCGCCAGGCGCCGGCGCGTCGTCCAGCAGCAGCTCGCGGCGCTGGGGCGAGCCGCGGCCCAGCTCGGTGCTGGGGGCTTCGGCATCGCGAGCCATTTGGAAACAATGGGGAAAAGGGATGGAGATAAGGAAAGATGGGAGGTTTTTCAAAGGGTGGGATGGTTTTCATTGGTTTTCTGTTCAACAACCTCGCAGGTTCGTTGTTTTTTCAGATGGGATGGATGTGGGATGGTGGGATGGCAGGTGAGATGCCAGATTTGCAAGAGAGAACAACACTCGGAAGAATCGTTGATGTCTGCCTCATGCTCAAGCACTTCCACCGTTCAACACGATGTGAAGGGACTATATATAGTCTATGGTGGTGTCCGTCCTCGGCCGGTGGTGCTACAGCACTTGCTACAGCTTGAGCCAAAACGGTGGAAATCAAACCTCCAAAAGGCCTCAGCCCTCCAACCCCTCTCTCCGACAATCCCTCTAGTTGCAGGTGATCCAACGGTGGCAAGTGGTCAATCTAGTGTTCTCATCACCGATGAGCAAATTCAGCGAAGATCAAAATCACTGGTTTGTGTGGAACTATGTCCAAAAGACAAAGAAAAAAGAATCCCCACCAACCAAGCTGAAAAACTACTGTTTGGTTGCAGTCCGGCTCGAAACAAGCAGAGCTTCGTTGCTCTACCCCCAAAAAGCTGTTGAAAAGGATATCTGATTATGGTTTTAGCAGCTTCGATCCGGGTACCAAACGACCGGCGCCGGTCGGAAATAAATGACCAAAGCACAGTCCGTCCCAGTCCAACGAGCCATCGCTACGAACGGGACTCCTGGCATCGCTACGAACGGAGCACGGAGCGATCGGACGCGACCGAACGGGGCTCCTGGCCATACTACGAACGGAGCAAGTAGCTACGAACGGAGCTACTAACTTCAGAATCGCCGGATGGATCCATCCCTCCATCCTTCCAGACCGCAGCCGCTCCAACCCCTCGGGCCTCACGGGCTCGAAGAGCTGTGGCACCCAGGCCTCATGCTCCTCAAAGTCCTCCGCTCGCCGCTTGGGGCCACTGCCCGTCTCGCTCTCCCGCGTCTCGCCGCCGCGCCGCCGAACGCGTCGCCGGGAACCACGGTGGACGGTGGAACCGAGGGCGCTCCACGCTGGCTTGAGGCTGCGGGAGGGAGCGGTGGAACCAAGGGCGCCGGTGGGTCAGGCTCGGACCCTGAAGTCGGATGCCAGATATGCCATGCCGAGAAAAGGCCAGGGGTGGGTGGTCCTAAGATGGGCAAAATGGGGGCGTCAGTCCTATTTGGCAGTCCCAGACAGGTCGTGTCTGGGGTTCCCAAAGCTGGAGAATCTCTTTCTTCCTTGGACCTCTGAGCCTCGCACCGTTGAACGGCACTGATGGCGGCCCTCAAGATGGATGTGCCAAACCCTCAGGGCAAGTCCGAAACTCGGCAAACCAAGTCCTCCATGTCATAGAGCCGGACATAGTCCCCTGTGAAGGGCAGGTTGGCCGCGGCCATGCCTGGCGGAGGCGGTTCCCGTCGTCTCGTTCGAGGGTAGTTCTCTGATCAGGTGGATTTGTCTGGCTCAAGAATTGGCAGATCTCAATCTGCTGGTGGATTCTCGGGTGGATTCCAGGTATCTGTGTTTTGCATCCCGTACCCACAAAACAGCCCATTCACCTTAAACAGCTGCCTTTCTCAGAAACTTGTAGGCGGGGTGACATTTGCCATATGCTGAGTGCGGTCAATGTCAGAACTCAGAACTCTGCGAAGAAGCAGATCTTGAATTTCGGTGCTCTGAGACCTCATAGACAACCGGTGGCCTTCCACACCCTACATTCACCATGAAAAGCCAACCTTTCCTACCTGCTCTCTGCAGATGTTTGCTGACTCGGATTCAAAAAAAAAAACCTCCCATGTGCTGCAAAACCCTGACCCATCAGCGCAGCTTGGGTGTAGTTTTCATGAAGATGTGTCCGAAAAGGATCCCAGTCCCTTTCATCTCCAACTTCCCCAAGTTCGAAGCCATTCAGCGTCCTCGTCCGCACCTTCCCAGCGAGTGATGCGATAGGGTTGCGACCTCGCCACGCCGATTGGCGTGGGCCACTCCGCACGGAGTTTGCGCCACCACGTCGTCCGAAGAAAAAGGGAAAAAAACAAACACCCTGGACCAGGGTTCACATGTCGGGGTGGTATTTGGTCCCATCGCTGGGCACCCCTAACCTCCAAGTTCGGCACCCCGTCTTGTGACTCCTGGATTGAAGCCCATCCTTCCCCCCTACCGAGATGAGACGTTCCGAACCCACCCAAGGAGCACGAGCACACTCGTGCTGCTGCGACAGCGACAGCGACCTGCTTCTGTGTCGTACTCGACCTCTCCGCTCAGAGAGGAGCGGAGCGGAGCGACTGGGTGTCCGCACAAGAGTTCCCGCACCCGAACCAAGTTCGTGCTCAACAGAGCTGCACATTGCACCGTCTCCGCCTCGCGGGAAACCCGCGCGAGCCACGCCCAACCCCAGACCGGGCAGACGGACGGAACCCAACAGAAGGCGGAGGGTCTCCCGGCGCGGCGGAGTTCAGGATCTCTCCGGGGGGGAGGTGGAGAAAGAAGACATGTCAAGAAAACGGTGATACCGTATAGCAGATGATGCCTAAAGGATCAGTCAGAGGACACGAAGCACATGTGAAGGTCGTGAAGGTCGCCGCGTTTGGTGCCGCTCTTCTTGGGGAGGAAGGCGGCCGTTCAAGCCTTCCACTCCCAAGCAGGCTGCTTTCGGGAGTTCCTTCGCCACGTGGCAAACCAGACTGAGGCAGGTGGGAGACCCCCTTTCAAGACTCACACTCACCCGACTCACCCCTGGGAGAAAAAACCCATCAAACCACCTGGACTGGAAGGGCTTCACCTGGACCGAAGCGGTGCCAGCTATGCTCTGATGATCCGAATGGTTGGGCGGTCCAGTTGACCGCCTGGTGCCAGTCTCCGTTCCTCTACAGCTTTTCCGTTCATGAGCCCAACCGACCCATACCCACATCGATTCTCTTGATATAAACGAAAGAGAAGAAGAAGCTACTATATAGTAACTATATAGTAAGCTACTAGGTTGGAGGCATGAAGAAAAGGAGAGCTTCCCTTTAGTCCGGGAAGCTCAAATCATACCTTTCCACAAATGGCCTTCCACCAGGCAGCCCCTCAAAACAGGCATCACCGCCCACAGCACATCCCTCTCCCTCGATCTTCCCTGCCTTTTTGCCCGCACCACCGCTCAGGACCTCTCTGCTGGGAGTTCGAGTGCCCTTTGGGAGAATCCGAAATGTCCCCAGGCAGCTTGGTGGAGGAATGAGTTGGAGGAAGATCCGATTTGTTGGTAATGTGGTGGAGAAAGGGGTACAAAAAAGACTCACCATCTTGCAGAATCGCTGTTGAGGATTCTGAAACACGGGCCTTGGATAGGAAGATCTTCCGGAAGCTTCATAGTCCGTGGAGTTTCATTCCTCGTTTGGTCCAGATCAAATACAACTATACCGTGGCCTTCAAGGGGTGGTTAATGGACACCCCTTAACGGCTAAGGGGCTATAAATAGACAGACACGCCTTGGAGGGTCCTATACATGCAATTACTAATATAGTTCCTCTTCTCTCACCCGGAGACCGCCAAAAGCCAACCCAACCAACCACACAGCCAACCAACCTCACCTCTTCTGCTCCGACCACAACCATCACCCCAACGCTGGAACAGCGTTCTTGCCGGCGTGTTTCTTCGCCGGGGCGAGCGCACCCCCCGTTGGTTCGATCGCCCAAGCTGGGCCTCCACGAAGTCTCCATCCTCACACGTGTCGGCCTCTAAGGGCGTCACGTGTCGTCCGCGAACCGTCACCTGCGGTGCCCGGCAGCAGCTCGCTCTGGTTGCAGCTTGTTTGGTGGTTGAGGCGTGATCGGCATTTTGTGGGGGCTTCCTTCCAAGGCCCCTTTGGATGAAGTGTGGGGAGTGTTGGTCTTTGTAGCTTGTTTTCATGATTTGGAGCTATTTAGGAGGTCGAAAGGTTGCCATCCATCATGGGTGCTTCCAGAGTCTTTGGATCCTCTTGAGAATTGCTGCATCCCTCACATGTCCTGATACCAGCATGGGCACTGGAAAACCGATGTCGATTCCAACTGGACAAGCTGATTGGAGTGCGCAAGCCAACGAGAAGAGGATCAACAGCGCGAGAGGCATGTCTTTTGGTCCACGGATGTCCCATATGATGAAAAAGTACCCCGCAACCCGAAATCATTCATGGTGGTGATGTTCCATCTGCCTTTGGCTTCTGTTCGCATCCTCACCTCCCTATTTTCCCCCCCTTTCGTCTGTTCTCCATGTGAGTTGGGTGTATCCCGGGATATAACATACACCCCCATCTGAACAGAAACTCGACTGACCCAAACGCAAAAAGAGCCAAAGCCTGCAGCAGCTGAATATTCAGCTCGATCCATGCATTGTCATTGCCTCAGTGTTCGAAACCATCTGATCGTCCGCACGGATCGTCCGCAGCGGTGGAATCGAACAGGACGGGGACCGGGGCTTCAAAAGGATGAACAAGGAGCCAATGAGAGGTTCTTAGACATCAAAAGTGGGGACTGGACTATACATGGCCCCCCCCCCCAAGGCTTTATGGCATACAGTGCTCTTGCATGGAGTGCATGACACCAACTAAAGCGGATGACAGATGAAGTCTTCCAAATCACCTGCAAGCAGTCTTCATCTGGCCTACCCAGAAGGTCTTTCGCCGGTGGACCAAGCCTACCTACTATAGGTGGGTCGCTACCCATCCCCATCTGACCTTGCCAAAAAGTTCCAGCTATCCCTAAGCCTCCAGCACGCCGCCTCCTCTCTCCCATGCCTCTCTCAGAGCAGCCCTGCTTCCCTCTCTCACCCCCTCCATGCTTCCAAGCACTGGCAGTGGTGGCCACCTCGCCCCTCTCCGCCTCCGATCGCTTAGGTCCCACGATCGCGTAGCGCCCGGCGTTGCGGAAGTCGCCCTTGACGACGCCCCACTCGAAGAGGGCGGTGTCCACGCTGCTGGAGGAGTCGATCGTGGAGAACCTCGGCGTGTGGTGGGGGGTTGTGGGGGTTCGTGGGGAGGAGAAGAGGACAGCCACGGACCCCTGGCGCGTTGGGTGTAAAAGGATTCAAAAGCATGGATTGTTTAGGTACTTGTGGGAAGATGTGTGTGGTCGTTGAAAGCAGATGGTCGGGATGAAAAGAAGGTGGAAAACCAAAGGTTCAACGCAGAAAATGGCGTGATCCTCCAATCTTGTAGTCGAAAAGTCTTCCGTCTGCACAGCTTGGCACGCATCTGTAGAGGTGTTGATGACCCGCGTACGCACATCTAGCTCCGTCCTCAGCTATATATTTGTTACCCCATAGGGTGTGCTGCCACTGGCTCAGTGCCATGCCAGCACAGCACGCGAAGGCCCCCAAGCAAGCTCAGGAAGACACTTCCCCAACAAAAATTGATGTGACAAGCAAGCAAGCAAGTCTCCAGTTGGAGACATATCAGTTGTCACACTGATAAGAACAGATACTACACTTGATCATAGCCAAAAGGCCGAGAAGATATGATTGTCCTCGCCTCCTGGCCTCTTCATCTGAGACTATGTTAGCCAGCCTTGACCAATCAACAGGCCGCAAGTAACAAAAGAATCAGCCATCAGGTCGTTTGTTTACGTTTGATTACCGCCTACCCTACCCAGCTGAATGCCAAGCATTCTCTTCCTCCAAGCCCCCCCACCCAGCTGGAGCCCAGCTGGAAAGCCAAGGCCAAGGCGGCCAAGGGGCTGTTGATGGACTTCCTGCAAAACCCGGTTGAAGCGTCCGTACTCGTTGTTCTTCCGCTGCTTCTCGAACCAGCGGACCAAGCCCCGCCTGTTAAAAAGAGAGTGGTTGAGGGTGAACAGCCTGTAAAGGGACCAGGGTTGGAGTCAAAGCAGGAATGAAAGTTTGCCAGGGAAGCAAGTCTTTGCCTATAGGCCTCTAGTCTTGCTTTCCATCGTTCACTCAAGGAGCTCCTTCCTTCCTTGACCACAGTGAACCCGTTTCCACACGGAGCACCGGACCGTTCCGGAATTCCACCGCGCCTGTGATGCTGAAAGATTTCGAAGAGCTCCGTCTCGGGGATGTCCAAGAAATTCTGGCCGGTCGCAAGGAAGGTTCAAGATCTAGAAGGTGATGTGGATGGTGTCCAATCTTTTCTTCCGGTGCCAAGACTGTGGAGAATGAATGAGATGCGAACATATTCAAACCTAGACCATCTGAACATCAGAAGTAATTCAAGCTACCATGAAAAAACGGAGGAATCGTCTAAGCGTTCGGCGGCTCCAGTTCAGGAGGAAGGGGGGCTTTGGGGGGAACTCACCGTTTCTGGGTCAACTGGCTGTGGGTTCCGTGGATCAAACTACTCACTCCATTCCTGTCAGATAGACCTCTGGAAAAGGAATACCCAAAACGAGCACCCTTCAAAGTCCTCATGGCTACGTGGATTCGCAGTGCCCTGAAACCCAAGAGACCCTCAAATCCGAATACCAAACAGCGGGATGAACTCCACTCCAAGTAGCCATGGGCAGTTGGAGGGAGAAGGGTCTGCGATCATCAGGTGAAACCTACATCCTATCACTCTGTCCCCACTTCTCAAAAGCCTGTCAGCTATGACCCTCCCAGACGTCTCGTATGGATTTCCCCAGACGTCTCGGATGGCTTTCGGATGGCTCTCCTTCTGACCCAAGAGGGACCTCGCCTGGTTGAAGGTATGGTGGAGCGAGAGGAAGGCGAACGAGGACAAGATGCGGCTCACCGATCGTTCATCCAACTCCTCTTCCGGCACCTGGGAGGTGAGCTCATGCATCTGGAACGCCAAGACATCGCTGATTTGTGGAGATGGGCATGGGCGAAGTAGCTCTACCAAGCGAGAGAGTCGTCCGAGTCGTCCGATATTCATTGGCATGTGTTCAGGAAGCGTGGACCCAGATGTGGAAACCACCAAGCGAGCGTGGTTGTCGTGCTTTGGGTAGTTCCTCCTCCGCGAACGCGAGGCCGGAGTCGGAAGCGACTTCGCTCGCAGCAACGAGAGCTCGAGACCGGCGGGGTCGCTATCACCACACCGGACCTCCTTGTCAGCGCCTATATAAGCGAAGCTTCTCATGTGGACCAAAACACCCAAGGCTTTGACCGGCTGGAAGAACACCCCTAGGCTTCGACTATAGGACCTTCCGGTCGGTGAAGGTGAAGGTGATCCCCACCAGCTGGAAGAGCACCCCTGTCTGCTGAATCCGCAGCTGGGCCCGGGTGGAATGGGATGGGTCAAGGAATAGAAGAAGCAACGGGCAGCGGTGCCTTTGGTCTTCGGTGGGTGTTTGGTGTGTGTGTTCTCACTTCTTGTCCAGCACTAACATGCATTAGCTATGTTGATTGCATTCCAAGCAGCATTCCGCAGCAGCAATAGGAGGTGTGCGTGAATGTTGCAGGAAGTCTTCATGTATTGATCTAGCGATTGCCTTGGATTTTGCAGCTCGAAACCAGGATGCAAAGCACAAGAGAACCATACCTGGATCCTCCAACTGTGCAAAAATTATGCCTTTTCATCTATAAAACCAGCCAAAAGGCAGAATTCTTTGCCATAGTTGGAAGATCCAGGTATTGCTCAATAACGCAAATCAGATTGCCGGACAAAATGGGAATATGGGAATCCCTACCCACAACCACAAGAGCAAAGAACAAAAAAGACAGCAATCAATGGAGCAAGCAATCAAGCAACAATAAAATCAAACGCATCAAAACTAAAAAACTGGTAGTGGAACTGAAAAAGAAACAAACAGTGTCGATTCACCATTTGACTTGACAATGCCTTGTGAATTTCACGTCTGACTATAGATTTATGTTCGATTGAGTCGTTTCCAAACCAAGGTGACGCCCAGCGAGAACGTGTTCAAACGGCCGGTCGAATGCACGCTGGCTCGGTTTTCACCAATGGCCTCTCTCGTTCGGCCGGTTTTCTCTGTCCGTCAAGGGGTGGTTCATGGACACCCAGAATCACGGCTAAGGTGCTATAAATAGACACCCCGACAGGAGGGTCCTGGTATGCAGGATGGATTGGAGGAGTTCATGCACTCTCATCATATTCAGGCTGGGCCTTGGCCCTCAATAAACTGACACCAAGTGGCTGCGCCTTGTTCTTGGCTTGTGGCCCAGTACCTCTTCCTGGCGATTGGTCGCCGAAAGCCCTGTTGTTCGATGTTCATGGGAGTTCTTTGGTTTGATGAATTTGGGTTGCACTGAATTCTGGTAGAGCAGGCTTGCCGTTGAACATGGCAATATCCTCTTCAGTGTACCTTTCATATTCGTTATAGAACAAATGTATTTTTAAAGAAGCACTCCGAATTGCTCTGAGACCATCCTGCTTGTTGATCCCGTGCCAAAAGTTTGACATCTCTCTGCAAATTTGTCTTAAGAGGACTCCTCTGCCTCACACTCTCTTTGGCAATTCAGTTTCAGCTTGACCAAAACATTCAACTTCCCTCATCAAGTTTCACTCGATTTTTAGGCTTTTCCCAGAGCATGCTGCTTTTTGACTCGGGCGCCTGGGGCGCCCCCTTCTTCTCCTGTGGCGTGGTGTGGGCGGAAATAGATAGACTGGAAGAGCCCGCTGCACTTCGCTGAGGGAGGGTCTGGGTCTATGACATATATGGCCACAGCCCTGGAGTGGCTCCTAAGACTTGAATACAATAGAATAATCTATTCTATTGGAAATCGGTCCATGCTGATCAAACAGCAGGCCTATGCCATATGCAGCGTTCCACTCTTGGAACTGAACATCTCCCACGATGGAATGAAGCTCTGCTTAACTTCAGGTAGCCTGCTTCACTTCAGCAAAAAGATGCACATGGTTTCAGTCGTTGCCGGTGAACAAGAAAAATCTTAAACTAATGTGTCCAAAAACACCCTACAAGCCCAAGTCTTGAAACAAGACTCACTTCCAGTGTCCAAAAAACAACATCGCCACAGGCACCAAGGCGTTGGGATGGAAACAATAAAAATGCGGTCGCATCAAGCGCTCGCTGCACGCCTGCGGCCGCTGCTGCCTTGCAAGCCAAGTCGTGTAGCTCTTCAAGCCAGGCGTCCAGCCAACCCTGGTAGCGACAGGAAGTTCCATTGAAAGGAAATGGGGATGGGTCAAAACCTAGAGCCCGGTACACCATGTAGCGAACGACGTTCCGGGTAGGTCAACCGTGCGGTCTCCTGTTTTTCATGACCCACATCCAAAGACGTCAACAAGATCGGCGAAAAGGGCACAAAGGCTCTTGGGAGAAACCGAAAAAGAACAAAGGATGGAGTCCTCCTTCGTCCAGTTCCGGGTTTTTCCAGTTCCGGTTCATCCACGGGTCCATCTTCCAGGATCACACCTCAGACCCTTTTCAACTACCGGCTTGGGTCCTTGGCGCTTGGTTAACCCACTTGATCATACGTGATCCACTTTTTTTGCTCCAGAGCAGTGGCGCAAACGTGGCCGCCGTGGCCATTCGTTCAGTGATCACGACGGACTGGAGGAAATGAAGGCAAACCAACATGGGTCAGATCTGAACCTCAGAACCTCCAACGATCATCCTATAATTACGTGAAATGGTTCAAACGACAAAAACGCTTAATTAGTTCTATATTCTAAATATATATATAAATATAATTGTATTAAAGCTCGATAATTATATCAGATGTGTTCTTCCCAACCCGAATTGGCCAGCAAAGAAGCACCAAACCTCCTCGACCCCCAAACCTCACCCCCCCGAGCCGAGCCCCGCCTCTGCCTCCGCGAAGATGGCCCGCAAGCGCTCGCGCCCGGCGCGCAGCTCGTGGAGTAGCCAAGCGCTGGAGGGGAGAGCACCCGGTCTTGGCCCCGTGGAGGGCAGCTTGCCTGGCGAGAGGTGAGGAGAGGTGAGTGCCCAGCATGAGGGGTAAAGCAGAGACATCGATGATGGCATCAAATATCTGAGTTTGGGGGGGGTGTTGGAGGAACTGAAGCCAGTAACAACATGTATACAAACATTAAGTACCAGGACCCTCCTGTCGGGGTGCCCTGTCTGGAAGCCTAGGCCGGTAGTGTGGGGTAGTCCATTGGACACCGCGACAGGAGGGTCCTGGTACAAGGCCAGTGTCTTGGACTTTCGACCCAACCTGGCCAGTCCGGCCACAGTACCACCAACTAGTAGAGGCCTTCCGAGTGCTGCAGCAGGTAGACGGCGGAGGACTCCACGCGCGCGGCCACGCGCAAGGTGAAGAGGATGGTGCCCACTGTCTGACTCATGGCCTGGGACGTCGATTCCGGATGGCCTGGGAGTTTCTGGCCATCGCTAGTGTTATTCATTAGCACATGGGGGGAAGTGTTTTATCGATGAATGGATCAACAGTCTATGAGTCTATACCTTCCTCACAAACTCCACAAAAAGCGAACATCAATGTTCAGCCGACTCTTGACCAAATCCCTACATCACACCACTGAAGCCCAGACTGAAACCAAGAGCCCTCACGGTGACTCCACGGACTTTCGTCCGCTGAAGCGGCAGTCAACCGTCGCTGTTCCGCTGTTTGGCCCGGCGTTCGTTCGCTCTGCTCCACCCGTTGCGCCGGTGCTCGCCCGTGGTGTGGTTTTCACACGTGACGTGGCACACGGGCCCCCCAAGGACGGACGAAGGACTGGAAGCGATGTGATGGATGTGACGGTTCTGGGGCGGTTTTCTATGCCCAGACACGACCGCCATCTGGGACTGCCGTGCGTCGGACTGCCGATCCATTGACCCTCCTGGCACCAGCCCCGATCGGCAGTCCGACATGGCAGTCCCAGACGGGTCGCGTCGATGGACGAAGGACTGGCGCTGTAGACCCGCTGAGAGGAGTCCACTGCCCCTGGAAGTGGAGAAAGTGCTGGTTTGGAGAGCAACATGGTCTTTACAGGGACCATGCCATCCACTTCCGAGATTGGAGGGAGGACTACTCCCATTTGGAGAAGTCCCGGTACAATGCGTCTTCTCCATGCGCAGGAGCACCCCAAAAACCCTCTGCTTCCACCCCTTCCACGAAGAATCCGGCAATCCCCGTCCAGCAGAGGTGCCGAGTTGGCCAAGACCAAAGCCAGCTCCAAAAGCTTTGCCAAATAGGCCAACAAGCAGCCAGGAGCACAAGCCAATTCCTTTGGCCAAGTTCAAAGGAAAACCACCGTGGATCGTCGATGGATCGTTTTGATTGGATCCTCCTCCCAAATCTGGGGTCAAGCAAGTTGATCGTATGAATCATATCGATGATCAGGTTGCAAAATTCAGCTACACCATGTGTGGCCACGGCTTCTGGCCACGGTTTCTGGCCAACCAGGGCTCGACTGGTGCTTCGGACTAAACCAACAATCCTGGAAACCTTTGGGACTTCCTTGCAATTTCTCATCTTTTGTGAAATTCCTTGGATCCTGCCACCCTCCTCCCATCTCCAATGTGTCCTTTCGGTGTTTTTGGTTGGGTCAAGTGAACATGGAGTCAATGGAGTCTCTAGACGCTTAAATCGGACCAACTTTGGCGGTATCGCCATGGGCGGAGAGATTGATGAGCTCAAACATAGAATCACACATCGTCACTTACAACCTCATCTGGGTGGTGTCTGTAAAATCCTGAATTTTATCTAGGTTCGTTGCTGGGATCATACTGGGTTCGTTGCCAGACTTTGCCAGATCGGTTCCTAGAAACGACGTGGCGCCGGGGAAACGTGGGGAACAACAACGTGAGACGCCTGGAATTTTGCACCTGAAAAGTCTTGCGCCCTCCAAGGGCAAACCGCGGAAGAAAAAATGCTGCGTTTTTTCCGACGAAACCCGCAAGGAGGAGAAAACTGATGCTTGGCTGCTTGGCACACATAGCGTTCAAACCAGCAAACAGAATATGGAACATGTTGTTTTTGGCAGTGTTTCTCAGCACTTGTTCACAGGATTTCACCGGCATGTTCCAAATTCCGTCTGGCTTGAAAGCCCAACGTTGGCCGTTTTGGCCGTGCTGCAGTGCAACAGTCCCCTTGGACTTGCCAGTCCACCGGTTTGGAGCCATAGCGGTCCAGTCCTGCACACCTGCAATTGCAGAACTACAATGGTTTACATGTTTGTCCCTGAATGAGGATTCCAAGCACTCGCCAAGCCCTACTAGTTCAAGAGGGTTTGTGGAACTACCACTTTTTCCTGACACGACATAAGCAGGAGTGGTAACCGCTAGTGGTAGTGGCACTGGCAGGAGTAGGAGCTGGAGTCGGAGTAATAGTAGTATAATCATCGTCGTCGTCGTGATAGTAGTAGTACTAGTACTAGTACTAGTACTAGTAGTAGTAGTAGTAGCAGAAATAGCAGTAGCAGTAGCAGTGGTCATAGCAGAAAGTCAGAGGTGCCTAACAACACACAACCAACAAAGCACAACCACAAACACACAACACACAATCAACAACACAACCACAAACACACAACACACAATACACAACCAACAACACACAACCACATACACACAACCACACAACCACAAACACACAACATGGGCAAGTTTTGGTGGTGGTGGTGTGGCTGAGCGCGCAGGAGTGCGCAGCAACCAGGACATATATAGTGGGCGTATAGATAGTGTATAGATAGTGGGCGTGCTGATTGACCTTGTTATCGACGATGCTCAATCATTGTTGAAGGCAAGAGCGCGCCTTCAGCCCGCAGTGTGGGCGCCCAGTGTGAGCCCGCACGAGCGCGCAGCAACAGCGCCAGCAAGCAGAACCTATATAGTGGGCGTACTAGTGGGTGTATAGATGATGGGCGTGCTTTTCAAAACAAACCCAAACCCGAGGGCACACAAGCAAAATGGAAACCCACAAAATCCACGACCATGGCAACATGCTCCTCACCATGGCATGAAAACAAATTGAAATGTCATGGTGGGGATCACTCGAAGCAAAATAAGTTGTTTGTTTGTCTTTCTGCTTGTTTTCTGGCCAGGAATACATGTGAGATTTTGGGTCGGTCTCAGCCGCTCAGGTTTGAGGTTCTCAACCGCTCAGCGGATGCTGCGCAATACTTGCCAGAGGCGCTCTGACGCCAAAGGGCTGCATGTCTTGCCAACTGAACCGCAATGAAGTAGATTATGCTACATGTCTTGCCTCTGTCTCATTGAATCGTTCACCAGTAAAAAGGAGGATGCTACTGCAGGCAAACAAACACGACAATCATAGCTTTCCTATGCGTCCCTTTTGCTGTCAGGGGTTCTTGCTGTTCATTGTGCGGAGTTAGTTGTTGGCACGCTTTCTTTTCCATCTGCTGCCTCCATGACAAGAGCTTGGATCAGCCGCGGTGTTTCACCTTAGGTGCCCTGCAGCAGGTGTATCAGATTCGAGGCTCTCAACTTCAGACCCATCATCAGGCTGCCGGGGTGTTCCACTTCCAACCAGCTGAGCCGAACAGTTGAAAAAACTTATCAAGTCTAACATAAAATAAGCTATATATATAGATCTGCTGGCATCTGTGGACACTCAGCTCAGTGCTCATCACATATCACTCCAAATGACAAGAGTGGAGTAGTGGAGCCTCTGTTCTTTCAGGTTCAGTCCGCAACTTGCTGAGTCTCATCCACCTCAAGACACCTGAGCAGCTTCAGCCGGCTTCAATCATCAAATCCATTCTCCAGGGTTCTCGGCATGGCCAGGTGGCCACTGGTGGCCACTCACCCACTCTCTGTAAAGGCTTCCATTTGGGCTCAGACCCTTTGGGTACAGTATACTTTCCGAAATCATCCTCAGGAGGTATCTGGAGAGCCTACAGTAAATGCAAACTCTCTGTGTCTCAGAGGTGAGTGGCTTGAGTATTTCATGTTGCCGTGCTTCGCTTCACAAATCTCAATGCATCCGTTTATAACGTAAGAAATGTAGACCCATTTTCCAGCTGTGCATGATGAAGCGGCGGTGCGAGAAATGCGAGAGTTCTGTCGATGTTCAATCCGACCACGCAGTGAACATGTTAAGACCGATGTGATCCCATGTGCGAAGTGGCGAAAGGCCTCATAGGACACCTGCACGATGTGCCGAAACCGTGGGTCGACGATCGCCATGAAAAGCTGGGAGAGGTCAGATTCCGTTCTCCCCTCATCTTGGCCTTTTCTGGTGAACTGCTTGACGCTGCAAGAAGCTTCAGGCCAAAAGAAGTGTACACAAAGGCCCGGGAAAGAAAACATGGTTGACAAGTTGACAATGCTTGAGTAATTGGGCAAGATTGACGAAAGACTTCCATGACTAGTGTCTTCATTGAATCAAATGTGTCTACAACAAACAACCACCAACAAACCAGTAGACTAACCAGACAAATGCCAAAACACAAACCAAATCAAACCAAACCACACCAAACAACGAACAAAAACAAACACACAAAAACAAACGAACACAACACAAAGTAACAAACAAACAAACAAACCAACCAACCAACCAACCAACAAGCCAACAAACCAACAAACCAACAAACAAGCAAACAAACAAAACAACCAACCAACCAACCAACAAACAAACAAACAAGAAAGGAAGCAAGCAAGCACGCACAAAAAGCACAACCAATATATATATATATGTATATAGCAGTCATCCTGAAACAACGAATCCGCCGCAAACTCGTCAAAGGGTCCTATGTCATCATGTAATTCTATCACTATATATAACATTAGTTAACCTTATATATCTAGCTTAACCAGTACATGTTGTGGCAGCTTGGAACATCTGTACATGTTGTAGCAGCACCAACTGTGCGAGAATCCCTCACCAACAGACCGGTCAAAACCTCCGACGTCCTCCGACTGAGATCCAGCAAAAACAGCTGAACTATGCTGAACTGCATGTTCTGTGTCAGGTGCTTCCAGGACCACAGGCTGAGGGTTGAAGAAAGGAATAACGCCACAGCATTGCAGCATCCACTGTCCACTGGTCTAAAAAGTTCATGCTGCCTTCATACTGGTCTAAAAAGTTCTCCAGGGTTCCACAAATTTGCTCCAGAAAGGGCCACAGACTCTGTTGGCACGAAAGACCCCGGGGCAAAACCACGAAGCTTTTCTGTCCTTGTTGGCGACCCCCAAACGACCCCAACACTGCAGCCCCTAACGGACCCACACACACAGTGGGCCCATTGGGCCTGAGTTCGTCAAAGATGTGAAGAACTGGTTGTATTTTTGGTGGAATTCCATGGGAATTCCGAATTACACCCAAATAATAGATCGATTCCCGATCGAGTGTCTTCACATTCATGAAAACGTGAAGACTCACTGTTTTCATGGTGCCACCATGGTCAGAGAAACAGGTCAATGGTTACCTCCCAGTGGGCCCAGCACGTAGCATCATCACACTACCCTACAACTGGTTAAACGTGTGTGAAGCCTTCATGGAAGCCACCGACCACAGGTGATAATTACAGGTGACATCTGTAGAGCGTGGAGCATACCCATTATGTATGTGGCCCTCTCTGGCATTTAAAAAAAGTGCGCACTTGCGCCATGGCGGCGCTCTGAGTCTGCCCACCCATCCATGTTTCAAACCAGACTCAGGGGCCGCCGGAACGCTGTACTGACCGTCTCGGTCGTCTCACGTGGCACTCCCAATCGGATCATTCACTCAAGTTGGCCTGGGGTAGAAGCGATGGCACTCTGCCCAGCAAGCCCTCTCAGCGTGATCTAAGGAGCCATCAGACGTGTCTGCAAGGGCCGCCATGCGGGCACTCCTCTGAGCTCTTTCGATTTCTCTGAGCTCAGAGGGAAATCTTCCAACTCACTCCAGGTCCTGTCTCCGAAAGCTGGTCCCAATGATTGCGAATGAACTCAGCGGCCTGAGAAGTGGAAAAAGCAAGGAACAAACACCACCCGGAAGACCATAAGGGTGAACCGGTCGTCTTGGCTGGAGAAAAAAAACGAGTCTCTTCTCGCTGGGTGAACATCATCTTGGTGTGAGCCAGGCGGCATATGGGTTCCTGAGTGCTTCTGCTTGAAGTCCATCCTGAACACACGCGTCACGCGCGCGTGTGGGCCACAGGTTTTTGCGACCGGGGCGACCTGTAGGGTGCCACCATCGTCTTCTCATGTCTTCTCTCCAGTCGTTTCAGTGAGTGACACGCGTTGGTGGACAAGGATTCAGATTCTTGTCCTTCGTGGCAAAAGA